AGCACAAAACGATGATTGAAGATCATATATAATAAATTGGATGCAATTGGAGGTCAAATGAGTGAAATATAGTGGAAGTATTTTCACAAATCAATTTCCAGCCCAAGAAGTTATGCTCCAGATTTTTAGCCTTAACGTGAGACCCATGTTTCGGATAGCAAACGTTCGAATTGAAAAATTTGTATTTCTAGAAGACTTGTAACCCTTTGAATTACGTTTCCAAAGCATTTTTAATCAACTCAATCGGATACTTGTGAAGAAAGTTATGATCAAAATATCGAGAACTACTCCGAGACGAACATGTGTGCACGCGCGAGCAATTGATGGCTCGTGCGCACACGGCACTATTTTCCCCAAGCCGAGAGCTAGTTGTTTCTACGGTGTGCACACAACACTTATACCATTGCGCGCACACGGACCTTTTTCGCAGACGAATCTTTAGTTTCCTTTCGCGATTCAAACTCTTTTGGAACCAAATTGACGCGAGTTTGACCTATTTTCTGTCTCCTATAAATAGAGAACGAGAGATACACAAAAAACCTCTCTGACCTCTTCATACACCATAGTTTCATCAAATTCATCAAGAACAAAAAGTCAATTGCTATATTTTGAGAGAGGAGATCAAACCCTAGCAAGGAATTGAAGGTCAATTACATCAAAATTTTGAAGAATTCAACTTTGAGCTTGAAGATCAACATTTTTTTATTTCTTTCATGATCCGAGTGATATTTTTCTATTATTTTTCTTGTAATTTATATATTAATATGTTAGGCTAGATCCGCTTTTGTATTGGATGAAGATAAACTCTATTTATTTATTTGTTTTAATTCAAGACTAGTAGTTTAATTTATTTCTTGCGTTTCTTGATTAATTTTGCATATTCATTGCATTATTTAATTTATTGACCACCAATTAGATAATTAGTTACTTGTTGTAGTGTTGAGAGACTCACAATAAATTTAGAACGCGGTAAAATTTACATATTTACAATAAGTGTTAGAAATAACATTTATCACATGTACAATCATATAGATAATATAAATTTTAATGCATTCTATCATTCGAATTCAAATTAGGAATAGATTTGAGTCGTGACTAAAATAGGTTTAATTTGTTTTGGAAAAGAATATTATATATCATAGTTTTATCGATTGTCAACGCAAGAACAGAACCACATTACAAATTTAGAATTGAAATAGATAGTAATATGCGGATTCGAGATCCAATACAATCATCCATAAATTGAAATAATCACATTTTTACCGCTTTCTTAGATTAATTAAACATGAAATCAAATCAAATTATCTTCAATTTACATAATTTGAATCCCATAAAAAATTAGTAAACTTGAATTGAAATTATTCCCTATGAAACGATACTCTCAACTCATTAATTCTATTACTTGTCAACGATCCCGTATGCTTGCGGGTTTTGCACGAACAAAACCCACTACTCCAAGTCATTCACAAGTACAAAACTACTATTATGTAGGGATTCGGTAGCTCAGATTGGAGCTGAGTATTTATTACATGTCTGAAGCGTCAAGTGAATCATACACACAAGAAAAGAAGTGGATATTCATGACTTCATACACATGAGCTTTGTATACAGACAGCTATCTAAAACTGAATTTTTTGCAAATGTTACTTTAAATTAATGAATGAAGACGATCATGTACGAGGCCTCATGGCCACTCAGACACCTAAACCTAATAAAGGAATAGAACATGATGTAGTGCATATAAAAGATTCTGCCTAGGAGCCTACAAGGAGTGAATTCAATTTCAGTATCGATGAAGTTCCACGTTCAGCGTGCAATGGATCTTCTAAAGATGGTGCAATTTAACCCTCTAAGAAGAAAGCCAGGAAGCATAGAGAACTATCAAGATGCTTCATATTGTGCAGAATTTAAAAATCAACTCTGGTAGTTGATCACCAAGTCTATGAGGAGTCTATGCGTATGTATATGAGACCAACTTTATTGGTCTTATCATTTAATGCCACACGGATGGTGATCATTCCCAGTAGGGATAAAAAGCATTACTCTGTTCAAAAGGTTGAACTTAATTTGATGCAATCGCAATTCATTTTGTAAAAGAAGGAAGAAAGACACCAGCACCTAAGTCCCCATTTCACCTTCATGGAGTGCAAAGAACTGCAGTGCCGCAAATTAACATAGGAGTTCTGCACGATCTCATTCTTCCTTTGTTTCAACTTTCACCAATAAAAATTGTAAGGCACTTGTATTTTCAGCAAAAGATTCTCACATCTTCAAATCAGATTCTCTTTTCCGTCGATAACAAGATATTGAATCAAACACCACTTTACCTATCCTTCTATTTCTTCGACTCCTTTTACTTCTACCTCTCTTCCTAGCCTTTTCGGCTGCACGATGAGACGTTGGCACGTAACCAATCCAACAGAGTGGCAATAAAGCAGCAAGAAACTGTATCATAATACCTCGAGGAAGACTAGAGTAATCACCATATGTGATACCAAGAAAAGAAGCCAATCCAACCCCAAAAAACCCACTAATTATAGACGAGAAGCACAAGGCGGATGCTAAGAAAGACATTAGAGATCCTTCACAACCCGGTGGAGCTAAATTTGCGAAAAGCACATGGAATGGCAAGAGCTTGAATTGTGCAATAGTTTCGGCCAAGCCTGAAAAGCAGAGAGCAAATACTTCATTTGGAATTCCTAATTGAACATTGATTTGCTTAACAAGTACCAGATCAAGAAGAAGGGCAGATGCATATATCAACTGCACAATTCCGACCAATTTTCTCAAGGGAATACTTTTCCCGAGCCAATCATAAAGTAAAGTCAATGAAAGAAGCATCAATTGTCCAGTCACTCGTGACATTCCAATAATTGATGGATCGAGATTTAAACACTGAGTTTGATAGCAAAAGATGGAACCCGAAAGGATTGGAACCATCACAATAGAAGAAACAACCCAAATAAGAGGACGCAAGATTCTCTCTTCTTTAACTGCCATCATTAGATCTGAGAACGATGTCATGACACTTTGTGAAATAGATTCCCTTGCAAGAGAATAATTTGAAGGTTGAGGTAAACCTAGGGATTGTTCTCTCGTTTTTAAAGAGATTGTAAGTTGAAGGGCAAGTAAAGCTGCAAAGGCTAGGAACATGGATTTTGTTTGTTGGGTTTTCGATAAGAAAAATCCACCTAGTAAATTTCCTAGAACTCCACCCATTGCCGAGGCCATAAATGCATAAGATTGGAGTCCCGGCATCTTTTTTTTTTGGCCATACTCTGCAACAAGTGCATCTTTCGCAACTTCTGAAATCGATGCTCCAAGATTAGTAACAAGAACACATGCTATGAGAGCCGGAAGAGCTTCACTTACAACCGGGATAAATGCCAATGATCCCCAAGAAAAAACCTGCAAGAAGACTGAAGAGCTTGACATATCAGGGTTATTCGTGGCATTGGATGGGCACAAGTCTTAAGCAGTTTTTTTAATCAAATTCAGAAGCATGTTTGATAGCGAAGATTTCTTTTTCCGTTGAAAAAACTTTGTTAAAGCAATTAATGGCATGAAATATGTGGCAGGCCTTCCTTTTGCAGGAGATCAAGAAGGATACTTTTAGATGAATTAAGCTAGTTGTACAATGAATTAGTACAATTAGTTTGAAAATGTGTGAGGTGGTCAGGATTCATGCCAACTCACACATTGTCAAACTAGTTGTACACGTAGCAAGATTGTTTTTAGATATCTCAGAATACGAGTCTGGCCTACTGTTAATTATTAGTATTTTACTAAATCATTACAGAGAATTCCACTACGATATATGTGTTCATCAAAGAAGAGTACAATTTTAAATTCAGTTCATATAAATTTTGTAACATTTTCTGGTTTTTTTTATAATCGTCAAGTATCAAACAGATTCAGGTCCTGCTGTTTATCTATTTCCAGTTCTGCCACTTCATATAATTGGTTTAACTTGACCGTGTTCACTATAACCAAATCCTATCAGAATTAAGCATTGAAATAAACCCAACAAAAAAGGATGTATATCAAAAGATGAAGAGATAAAGATCGAAAAATTTCACTCTCGCTCAATATCCACGCAGCTATTTCTCATTATGTAATGTCAAAATAGAAAGACAAACAAAATTGAAGCTAAAATTTAAAATTTGCTCAACTTTTATAAACAGAAGTTATCATTTCACATTTGAAAATCTTTTACAAATCGAAGCTAAAATTTAAAACCATAATGCCTTATACCAAACTAAAGCTATAAATAGGAGCAAATGCAAGAACATAATTCCCTTGAGAAAGCTTATAAAAAAGAAAAAATCCCTTGAGAAAGATAAATTCGTGCAAACTCAAGCCCTCTAATTGAAAACGATTATAGAATATGCTTAAATGCATCTTGAATAACACATCAAACGACAAGCCAAAAGACCAACAAAAAAGATCAAGCAATAAAAATGTATAGAACAAGAGGGTTATACAAACTAAATCTCCTAATTTTTGATAACCAAATCTCCTAATTAAGATAAACAAATGATAATGAAGCGTGACTCTTAATTTGGAAAGTAACATAGCAATGCAAGAAATCTTTAAAAAAAAGTATGAAAATGGACAAATTGTGAAGTTTTACCTCCAATGGAAACATAGGGGATCCTATGAGCACCACCAATATAAAGAGCATCAGACAAGATCCCATATAAAGGTTTGGCCACCATAGGCAAATTACCAGAGTTCTGCACAAGCTGCAATGTTGATGGTTGCATATTGAGATTGTGGGACATGTGGTAATTAAGAGCCAACCAAGGAAAGCATCGAAAACCATTAACATAGTACCCAAACCCACACAAAACCATCAGTTGTTGATTTATAAACTTGAAAAATCCGTTCTTTTGATCTTTCTTGGCTTTATCCTTGTTCTGATTTAAACGTTCACGTGATGGGGTAGAGATAACTGGATTTATCAGCTGAAATTTAGGCCTTTTGCATTTGTTCATGATGTTCTTGGGATTCAGATTCTGCTGCTGAGAACAGAGAATGCTGGATTTCAAAGGGAGTAATTTTTGGGATCTTGGACGGATTGGAAATAATGGGTTTGTACTGGAAATTAATGAAGAAATCATCATCAATCTCACAATTTGGAGAGTTTAAGAAGAGATTTTCCGGAAGCAACCCACTTATTTCCAACCTAAAACCTCTACAAGAAAATGTTTATGAATCTTTCAGACAACAAGGAAGAACCAGTGCTACATGGAATATGTTTGATTAAGAGGAATCTAGAAGAGTCAGGGAAGAGTAATCTCTGATTTATTCATTTATTTTTTGGCATAACGAAGAAAACAAAATTCGAATCCTACTTCTAGAGGCACGGTGTACAACCATCATTTCTCCTTCTAGAGAGTTTTGGAGAGGGCTCTAGGTCATGGCGTCGTCTTTTGCCAAGGGCTGCGGGTTGCAGGCATGTGTCCATGTTGCACAGTGTCGTGAGAGAGGGTCCCAAATCCAATAGACAATAACACCTCATCTCTTTTGTCAATAGTCATTGAGCAACTACAAAAAATTTGAACTTACCAAAAGTCTTGTGTAATATTAGGGAAGGCAAAATGTCTTGTCCCTCTCGCATAGTATTGTCCTAAATGAAGTGGTTATCGCCTCATCTAGCTGGAATCCTTGGAATTGAAAGGGTCGTCCCAATCCTTTGTCATTCTTATATAAGATGGAAGTGATATATTTTGAGATTTTTGAGTCTAAAATTTTTTGTCTTCTATTTGAGTCAAATAATATTGAAGTCAAGTTTAAATTTTTCTTAATTTTTTGTGGTGTAAATTGTTACGCCTTATAAAACTAGGACCCACAAGTGGTCTCCATTAACCTACGAGGCGAACAATTCGGGGGCCCCACGCCCCATACGCTAACATGGGGCAAAAATAGACTGACCTCCTTCAAGTACGGACGACCCATTTTCCCCCGTACAGCGAAACTGGACTAACCCAATTGCACGCAGACCCCATTGTAAGAACCGGTCCAGGACGAGATAGTGAAAAGATCTTGGACAGATCTTGTGCTACGTGATTGACAAGACAATTCATTGTCGCCGCCACAAACATATTTGGTCAAGTCCAAGCCGCAAGTTAGGCCAAAAAGGGTATTAGCATTTAAAGTTGTAATTGATTGATGTCTACGACTAGAAAGGTCAGTCTTTTGGATGAGTCAATATACATTGTCATCCAACAGCCTTCATTCATCTTGTCCAAATATAAAAGCTCACACTTAATGTCATTCAAGAATGATGCAGATTTAGACTCTCAAAACTATATTATTGCTATCACACAATCTACTCATTTCACACCAAAGTCAACCCCATTTTTCTATTGGAGGCTCACGCTATAAGCACTTCCACATTCATATCATTATTTCTCCAACTGACTTGACCGTCGAGTGCGCATGGCCAATTACACCCCCTTCGAAAAAAGCCACGTGTGACTAACGGTTTGTCCAAGTGTACAGGAACTCAGCTTGCGTGAACGTGAAATGCCTTGGAATCTGTTGGCCACATCATTGGTACATTTTTTTGGGTCAACATAAATTGTACTATAAGATCAACAATCATTACGTAGCATTTCTAGTTCAGTGTTAAAATTACTTTTGAAAATGATTTGGATGGTGCATATCTTAACTTTTCAAGAATGATAATCATACGTTGTTGTCAATATCTCTTTACATATAAAAGTACGAACTATTTTCTCACTCGAGTTGAAATTCGACGGAAAGGTTGACTTCGGCTTTCTCCTCAGGCTTGGCTTGGCTTACGATCAACTTATAATCATATTAAGAACTCATAGTAACATATTTTAATTAATAAAACATTCTTCACTAGGATCTAGCTTTGTTATATAAAAAATGAAATATAAAACGATTGAAAAAATATGCATGAGTAATGGTATTAAAAATTAAATTAAATGTTGTGTAAAGGGAACAATACATAATTCATGCATTTAACAAATACATTTCAAAACTAACAAACTTCTAAATTATTTCAAAAATCAAGTGTTAATTCTAATTAATAATATATAATTAAGAATAATTGAAATTAATTATCCCAACCAATTAATAGCATCCCACCCTAAACGTATCCACGCCACCAAATCAATAAAATTCCAATGAATATCTCTCTTTCTCTCTCTCCCCAATAATCCCGTGAATCTATACATCAAAATTTCCACTCTCAAATCTCTCCAGTGACTACGAAGAGGTGGTGGAATAGGTCGATGGCAAACACCACTTCGGAAGCAATTGCGTGCAACAGAGGAAGGGAAAGACGAAGACCCCGATGAATCGGGAAGCCGAACAGGTTTCGGAGCTTACTACCCGTGAAAAATAATCGGACCTTTCCGGCATTATATAGAGGAAAAGGCACGCCGGTAGCAATACAAGTTCTGGGATTTCGTACCCCGATCACACGCAGACAAAGGCAATCATCTCCCATTCAATTGATGGTTCCTATTTTGTTCAATCAACAAATTCACATGGGGGAAAATAAAATTCACACTCGGAAGACAGTTGGTACACATTTAATTGATCTAATTGCTGCTCAATTGCCTCGAAATTCGATATCCAAAGTCGCGACTGGGGCGGTTCCGTCAATTACTATTGGCGGCCAAAAATGGTGGAGGTGGTTCTGGTGGCTGTGGTTTTGGGTTGCAAGATGGATGCAATTTGTTCTTCATTCTCCGTAGATTTGAGGCGGCGGCGGCGACGAGTTTGGGGTTTTTTGTTGGGTTGTGATTGTGGTGTGTTGATGGAGGTTTGATTGTTAGTGGTCGTGGTGAAGTGTTGTTCTTTGTCCAAATGACAATCAAGATAAACAACAAATTGGTATTTATACATGATACATGAGTGCAAGAAATTGGCCCTTTAGGATGAAAAAATTGCACCAGATAGTTTTAGTGGTTGCTGGTATCCATGCTGCATTAATGATAATAATATTGGTA